TAAGTGAAAAAAAGACTGCAGTTTTATTTTGGGAAAAATCTCTTGAAATGTATCACAGCTAAAAAAAAAAAAAAAAGACAAACTTTTCAGACAGTAAGCACTTTTACAGGTCAAGTAAAAGCAAAATGAAAGTTGAGAACAATTGTTCTCACTTGATCACATGTGTTTTGGCTGTGCTGTGGGAAGGGAAGAGGTGATTGGTGCCTGTGTTTAAATACATTAAGCTTCCCAAGTACACTTATTTTAGTGACACTATAGATTAACTCATGAAAATACTATGCTGCGCATACCATCGAATACCTGTTTCGGAATAATCAATTCTATATTCACGTCTTTGTTGAGGATATTTCAGTACAGTTTTATTTTTAAGAACACTTACATTTAGAAGAATGCTGTGTACTAATTCGTCAGCCCTGATGTGGTTATGTTGTGTATCTGCTTTTTTAATAGGTGACAATATTCTAGCTGTCCTAAAATACCTAGCAACATCAGATAAGTTGGCTAAATCTTATGAGTATCGACATGGAAATGTTGTGTTCTTTGATGTACTTGGTTTATTTGTCCTCGCTTATCCTGCTCGTGTTGGCACCATCATGAACTATATTACAGCAGCAATTGCTTTTCTTTATCTAAGCAAGAAAGTATTACAGCCCAAAACCAGAGGTAAGTCTAGTTCTTAAAAAAAAAAAAAATCACATTACTCTCTAACAAATAGCAGTTAGCAGATGAAGTGTTCAGGCGATTAAGGTATGTTTTTAGATGAACTTCAGAAATAAATTTTAGGTGTGTAGCATGCCATAGCAGTTGCTTTGTGTTTAAATCTCTGAACTGTGAATAATTATGATGAAGAAAGACTATGATAGGCCTAGATCTCTAGCATTTATGCATCATGATTATGTCTCTTATCCTTTCATGAAGATTGAAGTTAAATCTTTTAGAGATCTGAAAATGGAAAAAAAATAAAATTTGCTTAATATCTGTATAAACTCTTTGTTCTGTTAGCACAGGCAGGGCTTCAGAATCATGTTTCTTTAACACCTGTCCAAAGGCAGGAGCAAATAAGAAAACAACAAATGGGGAAAAAGATAACAAAGCTTAATAAAGGGTGTAAAACAACTTAAATCTTCTAGTTAGACCTCTTCAGGTATGTGTAGGAACATATCTGTTTTTAAAAAAAAAAAAAAATCAAACCAAAACCACCACCACCCCAAAATCCAGCAAACATTTTTAGAGTAGGAAAAAGTTACAAGAATAGCAATTTTTTTTTTGGGGGGGGGGGGGGGGGGTTCCCTAGAGAAATTTTTACTATCGGGAACATGTTAATCTGCAAAATACACTAGGACCCTGGGAATAAATCTTGCAGTGGAGAAGACTGCAAAAAGGCTTGCAAAGAAATAGGTTCAGTGATTTAGACCATGCTGTTAAGAAATCTTAAGAGTGGACTCCTCATGCAGTTTTATTTTGGTCATTACAGCAATTACACTGTGGGGTAATTACAGTCTTGATGACAGTCTGCAGTAGAATACATGACTGTTGAATGCAACTTTTTTTTCTTCTTCATAGCTATTCATAACCTGAAGAAATTCTTTACTGCGTTTGGCTTAACACTGATGAGTTGGGTCTGCACACTGGTGACAGTCCTTATAGTAGCAGTGTTCGTCTCTGTCATTGGGCGGTCTCTTTCTTGGTACACCCATTTCTATGTTTCTGTGTTTCTGTATGGTACCGCAGCTGCCGCTAAGCTCATTCTTGTGCATACACTAGCCAAGAAGTTCTTCTACAAGGTAAGCTTGACTTCATTGCTAATGTTGAAAGGGAATGTAGTGTTTAATCTGTGGAAGACTTAATTTTTGAGTTGATTAAAGAGGTGCAAAATGTTTTCTGTATTGGACAGAAGTATTTAAAATGTTGCTGTAAAAATTGCTTCATCTAAGCATAGGGGTTGCTCTACTAAATCAGAGAGTTAAGAGCTTTGGGATTTAAGGCTTTCTCCTTGCTAATGACCTTTAGGAGCTGCTTCAGGAAAAAAATGCAAAAGCCTAGTAGAATACAGTATAAGGTGCTGTTTCTTTCCCTGTCTGCACCTTCCCTTCCTGCTATCACTTCAGTGATAAGAGAGCAGAGCAACAGCTAGAGAATTTAGGTGTTCTGATACCTTTCAATATTCTTGATAATTACAGAATCTACATATATACTCGAATGTTCTTTGAACCTTACTGGATTCTTGCTTCTGAATGTACTTGCATGACAGGTTCCCTAAATTTAATAATTTATTTTGGTATGGTACCTCCTTATGTATCTTTTAATATTTTTATTCTTTATTTAGTCTAATTTCTAATTTACATTTTGTTGTGAAACTTGGAATTCTGTTTCTCTCTGGTTTATTCTGTCCTTTTATTATGCATGTTGTTTTGGTGCTGTCATTTATATTCATAACTTTCTAAGCAAATAATACGACCTTTTTTTTCCCCAGATGGTTCACATGAGAGCTTTTTTCTTACATCTATCAGAATTTCTAGTTCTGGTATGCCCTCTTCTAATATAGTAACCTGTGCTGTACAGAGCTTTCTAAATGAAGCTGTTGTAAAAATTTGAGTAGTCAACCTTCCCCATATGGTTATCCCAACTGTTAGTTGTTTTGACCACATCTGGAGAAGGAACAGAGCCCTTGATAGTCCATGTTCTTTTCTGCAATAGGTAAAGGTCCTTTAGGCCCCTGCAAGGCTTGTTGGGGATTTGGGGTGTGTTATCTTTCCATTGCTGTCATTTGTCGTGATTACTGTCTATCTGCCTTTTTTGCTTAGAATTCTTCATGGACTAACCAATACAATTTAACGTGCATAATAATGTCATAATTATAGCTCATAACAATCTCATATATGTAGATATAGTTTAACGGGTTTGTATTAAAAAACAAATAGGTCCTTGAGGTGGTGCCATGAGTTATCTGACAGATGATGCTTTTCCAGGGCAGAAGTCGACTACTTGTGCCTGTTAGGTTTAGGTTTTAGGCACAGTAATATTTAGTCATTCAGCTTGCTGTTCTTCTCAGTCATTTGTACAAGCTTTGGTCAAGGGAATGTTGGAAGCCTAAGTTGTCAGCCAAATCCAGCTTCATCCAAGTATTTGAAGACGTTTTAAGAACTTAGTGAACTTTGACTGTATGGAAAGTTCTGGGTAGATCTGTCATGCTTTTATCTGGAAGTGGGTTTTGTAATTGTTTGGGAAAGGTGAGTGTGAACTGGTATATGTATGTTAACAAATACATGTACGTGGTGTTGTCCAAGAAATAAGGATTTTTCTGTGTGTTCTCATGAGATGTGATACATGGAATATGCTCAGTAGTGGGTGTATTTGCTTTTTTTGTTACAGAATATGAATGAGCAGTACCTGGGAGATATTTTTTTTGATGCTTCATTGATGATTTGGTCTATAGCATTGACTGTGATTACCCAGATGGGCCTTTGTTCAGCATTCATTTGTACGTTATGGGTAGCATTTCCTTTACTCGCTAAGCTGATGATCCATAAAGAGTTCAGCCAAAAAGGTATGAGTTTTGAGAGGGGGAGGTTGCATTTTGAAACATCTGCCCTTACTATTGTATATTGAATGTTTCCTCCAAACTCTTATTTAAGCAGAAGAAATACCAAACTTTGAATTTGAATAGTCAAAGTAACCATGTGACATTTTTGTAACAAGAAGAAGTGTTCTTGAACTAAAGACAGTTTGAAAGTATGGAGAAGCTCTTTAAAAAAAATACACTGAAAAACATCCTGTGTCTCAGACTAAAAAGAACAATACTATGTGAGGTTATTAATAAGTGATCAGATACTTTAATGGATAGTAAAGGTGGTTAAAAATACTGTAATATTTAAACAGTGCTTGGGACAGAACACCTGTTTAATTTTTTTTTTGTGTAATACAAGAATAGTTTTGTGGTGTTTTTGGAAGAATTGTATTGGCATTGACTATGCAAAATGAGATCCTCTTTCCATATCCAGGTCAGGGATGAGGACCGGTATTGTGTATTGGGCCTTGCAGCAGTATATGGATATATTAGTAAAGCTGTGTGTTTATGTCCTTTTAAGCTTTTATGGTTTTGTCTTTTGTTTTTTTTCTGTCTCCTGTAGGTGCCACAGTGAAGTTTGTCATGATGTACATGCTGGGAATGTTTGTTCCCTATCTGTATATGATGTATCTTAGTTGGACTGTATTTGAAATGTTTACACCTATCATGGGACGAAGTGGTTCAGAAATTCTACCAGATGTGGTGTTGGCAGGATTTATTGTGGTCATCACTATGATTCTGTCATCCTATTTTGTAAGTAGAATTTGTAAATGTTGTTTAAAACTTCTAAACTTTCTCTAGAGTTTAGAATCAATGTTTTTCTAAATTAATACTTGAAGTTAATGATAATTTGACAATGTCTATTGTCAACAATATATGTTACAGGAAACTTCTAGGAAACATGTTAAAGATTCCATGTTTTGTGTTAGTCAAAGAAAAGTCATTGAAGCAAGGGTTACAAAAATATATCTGCTCTATGATGATGTAGTAAAGATGGGTGTAAAATATGCAATTTAATGCTGGAGTTTGAAGAGGCATTCGTTTTACATGAAGTATAGTATGTGACTGAACAGTACATATACTACAAAAAAATTCTCAGGGCGGGGAGTTGAGGGGGTGTTTCTGCTGCCCTTGCTACAGAGGTTCTATGTTTTTGCTGGCAGATGTTTTAAAAAACAGGAAATTTTTGAAAGCTCTGGGAAGTACTCACTTTATTCCTTTTGGTTTTAAATACTGAGATTACAAAGAAGTGTCTTGTGTCAGGTGGTACTTGCAATGGTATCTTTTAAATGTACTTTCAGTTCCATAATTGGATTTTAGAGTTATACAAATAGTGTCTTACTTCTTAAGTCTTGCAGTTTTATAACTCGGCTGTCTTTTTATTCTCTAGATTAACTTCATTTACCTTGTCAAAAGTACAAAAACGACGCTAATAACTTTAACTACTGTGTTTGTAGTCACTCTGATTCTCGTTTGTAGTGGAATCTTCTTTCCTTACAGTTCTGATGCAGATAATCCAAAGCCTAAGCGTGTCTTTCTCCAGGTAAGAAAAGCATTGCATATCATATTGCCTCTGTGGTTGCACAAGTGTTTGGTTTTTTCAAAGCTTAAACCTCCCTGCCCCCCACCCCAAAAAGAGTAACCTTCCCTTTCTTGCTAGATTTAAAAGCTCTAACAATTTTTCCTGGATTTGAAAGAATTGCTAATGTCTCCCTTGTTCAATCTCTGTGGTCAGTTTATCTGTGTCAGAAGAGCAGGGTTTTTTTAGGGGGTTTTAAGTGGGAGAGTTGAGTAAGCAATGATAATTTTAAAAGTGAAAGTGATGGGAGATGAGCAAATACAGGCACAGTCTTCTTCTGAATGTAGGTGTTTTTATGGTATGTTTCTTTTATCTGAGTAATTCTCTCTACGTAGTCATAAATACTCAGATATGTGTTCAGTGCATACTGAAAATGCAGTAGACCTTAAGGACTGACAAGGAGGATATTTCAGAATCACTTCGGACTCCTGCAGACTGCACACGCTCCATCATCTTTCTGTGTATCTTTTTTTTTTTTTTTTTTTTTTTTTTTTTTTTTAGACCCACAGCAGAAAATTTTATGACTTTAATGAAGCACACAAGCAGAAGATTTCATGATCTAGATGGAAATGTGGTTAAAAGTGACTCTGGTATATGGATTAATGGATTTGATTATAATGGAATATCTCACATAACTCCCCATGTACCTGAAATCAATGACACCATTAGAACTCCATGCGAGGAGCAGGCTCCTTTCTGTGGCCTTCCTTGGATTCTGCCAGTGCATTTCATGTTCCGGTTGGTGTGAACTCTGCTTCACTTGAGCACTTAGTGCCAAAGCAAATTGGTCATTTATGCAATCTTGCTTGTGTAAGGGAAGAGGAAGTAAGGATAACCTTGGTCTAAAAGTAAATAATCCTTCCACTTCAGGAGACACTTAAACCTCTGTCCAGATGCAGTGTCTTCTGTCAGAATCTCTGCAAGAGATTGCTGGGTCTGCTGCAGGAGCTGTAGAAATTGACGTGTGCAAAATTGATGTCAGCACCAGTGGAGAAAAAGGTGAAGGGGGTGCCTTCTAAAGGGCAGTTCAGGGTACGAGTATATGTCTCTTCCCTTCTTCCCCCCCTCACCTCAGCTGACAGCAGAGAAAGTCCAGAGTAGCTGGTCTCCACAGAAGAAAACTAGCTTCTCTGACTGTTTCTCATACCCCAGGAATCTTGTGAACAAGAGTGTAGCAGTTTGGACATGCAAATATTCTTACTTATTTTATTGTTTTGTAAATTAGGGCAGATGAAGCTAATGAATCAATGCACTGGTGACTATTTTTCTATTAATATACCCTTTAAATATTTCTCTGGCCACAAGCTGCTACTTTTACTGCCTTCTGCTAGAATCAGTAGATTTTGAATATTTCATTTAGTAACAGTCAGCTGTACTATACAAAAAGTTCTTATTGGCTTTTCATATTTAGTACCTCTGAGTGTTGCATTGAGAAGAAGTTAAGAGTTCATTTCTCCCCACACCCCCAGGAAAAACTGGTATCTTCCTGCTCCAGAAATTTTTCCAAGAAGCCCCATTCACTTTAAAGTTCTGTCCAAGGAGCTGATGCCCTGGAACTCTGTGAGGTTAAGCTTTGAAGTATCTGGTGAGTGACTGAAGCTTCTGATTTGTGATTTGTATTTATTTTTATGCCCATAATAAATCAGGTTTTGAATCCAGTACTGCAAGTTCTAGTGCCATTCCCAAAATAGTGAGCTTTGTGAGATTAGCATCAATTAATTCAATTTCACAACACACTAGAAGCTGTGGGTGTTGTGTGGCAGTTGTTACTTGGGGGACTGATAACCTTGTCTGTTTTGAGTAAGCCTTGATCTTTTTATATCAAGTCCTTTCTTAGAGTCCATTTTATAGCTCTGTCACTCTCCTACATCATAATCTCATTTATCTCACCACTTAAAATAATCGAAGCTTCTTCTGTAGAGGAGACAGTTGTATCATGTTTTGGAAGATATGAATAGTAATGCACAGATAACATGCTACTGTATAGGAAAACAGATGGTTATTCTACCTCCACCTGTTGATACCTCTAGATACATATCCCTGTCTCTGCAGGTCCAAGTCACATGTCCCTGTACGTTCGGCCACATGAAGGGTCGGCTCTGTCCACCTGGTCTCTTGGGGATGGTATGCCGGTTGCTAGCTTAGGAGGAGACTACTTTGTGTTTTACTCCCGCGGGCTGCAGGCTACACCGTGGCACTTCTGGGTTGAACTGACGGTGGGTATGCTGCTGCTGGAAATCCGGCAATCCCTTGGTCTGCCCTGTTGTCAGCATTTCTGCATTCTTATGTGAAAAATGTCATAATAACTTTCTTAAGCTTTGCTTTATTTGATAGATCCTAATTTTAGCTTCCCTCTTTTAATTTGTCCCTCAACTTTATATATCAGCTCACGTGTATGTTTGATGCTTAGTCCACTAACTTGCCGAACAGCCAAAGGGGGAATATTTTCCATGTCTCCATGGTCTTAGGTCGTAAGTTTGGATTTCTCTCATCTTAACCTCATAGTTTTGAAATTTTATCTTTATTACTGTTATTTCAGAGTTCTTTTTCTTATTATGAGTAGTTTCCTTTTCATGTATTTTGTTTGCTTGGTTTTGGGAAATTACAGGGAGTTCACAGTGGGAAACTTACCTGTCTTGAAGATGAAGACGGTTGTAAAAGCACTGTTTTCTGAATTTTCTTTTACATTATTTTCAGTTGGAAGCAAGGCTTCCAGCATCGCTCTTCCAGTGGGATTTATGATCCACCCCTGCCATTAACTTGCCAGTGAAGAACTTTGTGCAGATCTGTATGTTTTTATTATAGGTTTAACAGTGTTTTATTCTTTGAGTAAATATTAGGAGAACCTTTGAAACTTCAGAAAGTCCCTTGTTCCTTCCTGGATCAGGCAGTCTGAACACTTAACCAAGTAATCCTCTGAGTGTAATTGATAAAGGCAGACAGGAATCTGTGGTGTGACAGGCTTTGCAAGATTGGTAGTGGCAAAGCTAGACAGAAAAGGCTTTTCATCCTAAGGATTCGCAATAGAAGGATCAGTATAAACACTATGTTGGAGTCCATGTCTTGATTTGTCAGCAAAACTGACACATATGCAAACATTGAAGTTAAAGCATGTGCAAGCTATGTAACGTGTCAGAGGCCCTGTGATCTAAATACCTAGTTGCAAATTCAATTCAAATTGAACTCATGTAATCAGACTAATACGTTTGAAGATAGGAAGCGTTTTAACATACAGGACAAAGAGCTGCAGGATGAAGTTTGTTGCATAGATCTTAAGTCTGTAGAAAAGTACATCTGGATTGATCTTATGTTTAAAAGCCATGAACAACCATAAAGACTGTGTTGCCCTTTTCTCACTTTCAGGCCCCAGAAAAGCATTCAGATGGAATAGTCTCCCTCGCCATAGCAGCACATTACTTTTTTGGGGAAGATCAAAAGTCGCCTCAACTCTGTGCCTTACTGGAGAGGTTTCCAAACTGGACGTTTTCTTCTGGTTGGTCCTGCACTTACGACCTTTTTGTCTTCTAATGTTGACAGTAATGCAGCACTAATAGGGTAAACTCTTTGGCGCAGAATGCTGTTGTAGCAAACACATTCTAACAAGATGCCAGAGACTTTCACAAGATTTTAAAGTACTTCGGCAACAAATGGTGTTTCTTTGGCAGTTTGACTATTTAAAGACTACTGCTCTCTTGGGGATATAGTGATACTTCATGTCAATGTGAATACGGTTCACTGTGGTTCTTCCACTGAAATGGCAGTTTGAGTAGTGGGTTTCTTAAAACTGCATTGGAGGAGGTAACGTCAGCATAATATGATGGCAATTGTAATGAAAAGGTCTCATGAAATGACTTTGTTATGTAAAATATAACCATACTTCACGCACGTGTGGGGACTATCGCCTACCAATCCTATCCATCCTATTGAAGTAAGACCTTCAGCTAGAAGATACTTGTTCACGTGGTGGCGGGGCAGAGGTGGCAAAGTCCTAAACATTACTTTTGTCACTGAATGAACACTGAAGGCTATGATGCTTGTGTAGGTTGCATTCCCAGTCCTTGGCAAATGCACAATGCAGAAAAATTGATATTATAGTGATGGAATGTGGTAATTATTTATCTAGATTATCTTTTCCAAATAATACGTTTCTGTTAAAAACTTAGTTCGCACCCTTTTGCCTGTCTCTTCAGTGTTATAACTCGAGTGGGTAAGTTTGACTTAACAACCATCTTGTAGTTTTGTTCCTGTTGGGATCTTTCAGTATCAGCACATAAGCATGTGACTTGCTCTCTTGTATGTAAGAGTGCTAAGTCCCCACTCCTCGACGTGGATGTCTTATAATTCATCTACTCTAAATTTCAAGTTATCTTCTAATTTATTAGAATTGGCGAATTTTTGGTATCTCCTCTGGAGAGACTTTTGGTAATGTGACAGTATTGCACTTTGCTAATACATTTAACTGTTTTTTAAAATAGTTTGCTTTCCATAAGGAAAAATAGCAAGAAGAGTCATCTTTAAAAAGATGTCTAATATCTCTGGATTGCTCTTGTTTTATTTCCACAGGATGGGTTTTATAAATGACTGAGTGATCTAGAATATCTTCCAGTTTTAATTGACAAGCTTTGAGTACAGAAGTCACTGACCTCTTTTTTTTTTTAATACTCCCAGGTTTTTTTCAGTGCAGTGTAATAGTTAATGTTAGTTTCTGAAATTCAAAGAACTCTATGTATCTGAAGAAACTTCTTCATGCTTTTTTCCAAACTATATATAAAACATTCTGTGACATCAATACCATGCTACAAATTGTACAGATTAGTATTTTGTTCATCTCATGAGTATTGCCAAATCACATGCAAAGCAGATATTGTGCATGCATCATCATTTTGAGTAAAAACATGCTAGTACTGGGAAGTTTGCAGGGCACATGAAAGAAAATTTTGTGACAGTTAAATTTGTGTGATCTGTGGTGGACAGCAGCTCCCCGATCAGGTATTTTTCCTTCAAATTATTCTGTAGTTGTGTATGACAGTGGCAAGAACCAGTTTAATTTGTCGCAAAGTACGTTTGTGAAGATTGTCAATTGACTCATGGACTAGGTAAGAGGTTTAATTATTGTAATCATAATGAACTGGCCATCAGTATCTTAAAACCAGTGGGTCTTTCTACATTAACATGTGCATTAACCATCACTCATTTGATTGTATCTGATTTGAAACTACAATCCCTATATTATGCATTTTTTATTTTTTTTTAAAAGTGCTATTAATGAGTTGAAAAGCAGAGTTTTAGTTCATAACTCTTGTGTCTTGAATCGCAACAAATGTTTCGTACTGTACTCTAGCTGATGCACAGCTAGTTAAAAGCTGCACTGATGTTTGCTGTCTTCCTCGGTTTTGATTTTTATCTTATGTTTCGCCTCTGATGTAAAGCTTTGAAAAAGTGCTGTGTGAAGAATTTGTACCAGGAGCCAAAAATATAAAAATGCCTGTTAGCAATTTCTGCAACTTCAGTGAAGCAATAACTTTTGCTAACTCAGGATTTGACCTTTATTAAATAATTTAATTATGAGGGATGTCTATTTGTTGTAAATTTCTGTCTTTCTAAATAAAAGCAAAACTTAATCAGTGAAACTTGATTTTTCAGCATGATTAAAGGCATATTTGCATTGTTCTTATTTATTGCACTAAAGTTTTATTTAGGCTTGGGGTAGAAATACTGCTAAGTGATGCTTGAGTTAGGCAGCTAGAGTTAGAGCTATGTGGGAGATACGCATGGCCAAAGAATGTAAAAATTATCTGAGCTGAGAAATGTTAAAATGAGGGCCCTGGCTGGTTGCCTGGAGAGGAAGGTTCTTCTTGAAACAAGATGTGGTGTGGAAGAGTCACTGGTAGCAAAGCTAGGTATTCTTTGCAAAACTGATAGTTGACAGCAAATTTACTGTTTATCACAGGCAGAGAAACAGGATGGAATATTTTGCAAACTGTTTCAGTGTCCATCTGCTTCCCCATTCAGTACAAGCAGATCAGTCTTCGGCTACTGTGGCTTTTTACTTCTCATTAAAAGTATTGTGTGTCTTATTCTGTGAAATACAAAAGAAGCAAGCAGCTGGTAATTTTAAGGATAGAAGTGCATGGGAGTAGAGAAAGTCTTTATTCTTAGTGGGGGCAGTAAGCAGCTAGCTGATTGGAATTCCCCTATGTTAATTTGAAACAATTGACATGCACAGCCTTTTCTAAATTGCTTTACTCTTCCTTAATGCTGGAGTTCTTCCCTGAGTTTTGATGGCTTTGAGAATCCATTATGTTCTCTATGAACATACATAGTACTCTGTTACATATCTATAGGTAAAAGAGCTTCAGAAATAAGTATTTTATCAATTTAAGCATGTGGTTGCAAAGGAGGCCTGTACACGTTGTGGTTATACAATCTAATGCAGCATTAGTGTGTCACCGTACCTTCAGACTGCCTGTCAAGTAGAAGTATGCATTTGAAAAAAGAAAGTGCAATGAACATGAGAATTTCAGCTATCGTACACAAAGTGACAGGCTGTTGAGCTGAGTGGAGCCGTTCTGTGTTAGCAAGACCTGTCTTTAATGTCTGTTCAATCTAGGTTGGGTTCCAAACCTGTTGGAAAAACACTAAATCAAATAGACAAGATCTAACAAGTCTATGCAGAGCCAGTTGTAGCATATGGGACATAGCTGCTGAAGAGTTCGCCTGCATGGTAATGCTGTTCAGTACTTTTTTCCTTGAGGGCTAAACCTAATCTGGTTCTTGATAATAATGTGGAAGGAGCCTGCAGGGTGACCAATCTTAGAACTTGATATGCGGTCTTAGTGAAGGGTGGTTAAAAAGCCATGCAAGATGAGTAACCCTAAATGCTGTCACAAAACGGTGTGGTTGGTTAGACAATGTGAAGTTGTGTAAGCGTGACTTCTGTTTTGAAGATAGAACATGGATTCTTGGTCTTCATGAAAATCTGCTCCAGTCTTGGAGGATAAAATAGTCCTAGAAATTACAGGCTTCCCTGTTCACTGCAGAAGAGGTTCTGCTGGGTTCCCACACTTCATGGTTCTGTCAAAGCTGCAGATGCAGCTTGAGAACTTTAAGCCAATTTAGGGAGATGAGTCACTGCTACCTATATTTCAAGCAAGGTGTCAAGCATCACTAGCCATTAGCAAAACAGCTTTTAAAAAAATTTCAGTTTCAGAAACCTGTAAGGATCAGTCTTGAAAGTTAGCAGTAGTTTGTCTAGAAAGGAATAATTCAGACTGGTCTGAGACTCTGGAACAGATACAAGCTTCAAAGCCAGTAGGTACAGCTGAATTTAAGTACGTGTCTTAGAAAGGTGCCCATGCACAGTTTATTCAGGGATGTTGCTGCTTCTGTGTGTGGTGGTGGGGTCCTTCTTCTTTTGATAGGAAATAATTTGAAAAAAAAGTTACGAAAGAGTGGTTAGGTGCCTTATGTCTGAACTGTTTAGCTAACTTCAGCCTCCAGTTGTGGGCTTTTGTAAAGTCTCAGTGCTCTCTGGTAGGAAACTCCTTGAGTTTACTTATTTCAGGTGGTACATAATAAAACAGAAAACTCAGCAAGTTGAATCTTTCTTTGAGTGGTATGAGAAAGCTCCTCCCTTTTCTGTGTTTAAGCACTGGGCCAGCCAAAACTGGCATTCATCTCACTGCCCACTAGAATATCTGAAGAGTCTTCAGCTCTAGGGTAGGAAACGATGAGACAGTAAGTTGGGTCTGTGCCCCCCGCCCCCCTTTTTTTTTCTTGGGGGCTCTCCTTCCTTCAGTTGAAGCCAGCTTACCACCCTCAACAAGTCACCCATCATCTTTTATAGTATCTTTATAGCTGCAGATGACTTCTCTCCTCAGTTTACAGCAAAAAGAAGGTTGAAAAAACTGTGGTGAAAATTATCCTCAGAAATGTGATCTGACTCAAGCAGTTTTGCAAGTATACCCTGTGTGAGAGGTTTTTTTTAGATGGGTAGCAAGGAATCCAGCTTGTTGCTGGTTTTCAGAGGCAATTAGTTTTGTACAGGATGAGAACCAGATCAAGAAGACTTTGATGATATGCAGATGCTGGTGAAGGCAGAAATTTGATATCTTTCTATGCCATTAAATGCTTAAGTAGGCCAGGCTGGCAAGAACCAGGGCAGCCAGTTTTATGTGAGCTGGATAAGCAAAGTGAGTGGAGAAACACTGAGTTGGAATTCCATAGAAAATGTTGACCGTCAACTGGTTGAACAGCCCATTTTTCCTACGTTTAGGTTAAGGTAATAGCGCATGTTTGTAGATGAATAAACCTTTGGTGGGTTAACCATGACTGGCTGGCTGCCAGGTGCCCACCAAAAAGCTCATGGGTTGAGATAGGGAGATTACTCACCAGTTACCATAATAGGCAAAACAAACTGGCCTAGGAAAAAATTAATTTAATTTATTGCCAATTAAAGATAAAGTAGGATAGCAACAAACACAGAGGAAAAATTAAAAACACCTTCCCCCCAACTTCCCCTTTCTTCCCATCCTCAACTTCACTCTTCTACCTCCTCTTCCACAATGGTGCAGAGGCATCAGGGATGGTCAGTCGAGGGTCGGGTCATGGTCAGCCTGTACCAGTTCCTCTCTGCTGCTGTTCCCCTGCTCCAGCATGGCATCCCTCCCATGCGATGGAGTCTTTCATGAACTGCTCCAGTGTGGATCCTCCTCTTGATGGGGTAGTCCTTCAGGAACAGACTGTACCAGCATGGGTCCCCCGTGGCCCGCGGTTCCTGCCAGAAAACCTGCTCCTGCATGGGCTCTCCATGGGCTGCAGCTGCCTTCAGGGCTCATCCACCTGCTCTGGTGTGGGGTCCTCCACAGGCTACAGTGTGGCTATCTGCTCTGATGTGCTCCACAGTGGGTGGCAGGGGGACAGCCTGCTTCACCACGGTCTAAAAAGATTTAACTGCTGAACAACAGTAGCATGGTAGTAAGATATTAAGAACGTTAGTAAATCAGTTCATGTACGTGTTTACTTGTACAGATCCACAGGCTGCAAGGGATCTCTGCTCCAGTGCCTGGAGCATCTCCTCCTGTCTCTCCTTTATGGGCCTGGCTGTCTGCAGGACTGTTCCTCACATTTTTTCCTCACTTGTCTCTCTCACAGCTGCTGCACAGCATTTTTTTACCCCTTGTTACGTATATTATCAGAGAGGGAGCACCAGTGTGGCTGATGGGCTCAGCTGTGTCCCGTGGTGGGTCTGTTGGAACTTGGCTGTGTCCCGACACAGGGGTGGCTCCTGGGCTCTACTCACCAAGGCCACCCCTGCAGCCCCCCTTGCTACCACACCCTTGCCACCTAAACCCAATACACCTCTTCTCAAAACAACAGGTGGATGTGACTGCAAAGATCCACTAATAAGGTAATTTTTAACGTAGAAGCTCGACACCTTCATCCTGTGAAACAGGCCATAGGGGTATGGTGTGGCAAACTCAGTCTTCATTGGGTAACGTCTTTGAGAGCTTTGTTTCTCTGAGACAACCTACTTGAATTCTGATCATTTACTGTCAATGGCTTGAAGTCAGAAATAGTTATTTTCCACAGGAGTAACTTCAAGTAAAGTTGAATACATTTGTCTTTTAATTACAGGTATAACAGCTGTGAAATTGAAATACAAAATTAGCACATAAGATTTGCATAGAGAGAATTACTACTAAAGAAGTACAAACTTCTGAAATTTCACAACTAAAAAGATTTAACTGCTAAACAACAGTAGCACAGTAGTAAGATACTAATATTAAGAATGTTAGTATATCTGTTAATGTATGTGTTTACTTGTACAGATCCAAAACCTGAACAGCAGAAAGCTGATCAGGATGGGCCTGGCTTACATTATTACCACAGAACCACAGAAAAATATTAACTTGTAGCACAGTTTTTATTTCTTTTAACATAGATTAAGCAGGTTTTTTATCATAAAAAAGCTTTAAGTATCCCCTTATAACAATAATGGATTTTGATGTTGGATCACAACAGGCCTGTAGGTATGACAGACATTATCTGTAACCAGTAGCTACAATGCAGACTAAGCTTAACGCTGGGATTCTTGAACCGGATTTCTTTCCTATAACTTCGGTATTAGTTTCCACTCTTAAATGGAAAGTCAAGCTGCACTCACTAAAATCTCCAGCTTTGCAAGTAATACTCGCAATTATTGCACTTGTACTGGTTGTATTGGCTTGGTAAAGCCGTTCTAAAGCAACAGTTTAATATTTGTACATTTTAAAGCACTTCATCTTATCTACAAAGGAAATAAAGATGATAAAACCACAATTTATTTCAACTTAATTATGAATATTCTTAATTTTCAGAGTTTAAATGGATGCGCATTTAGAAACTACACTAGAAAAGCAACAGATGCTGTAACTACCCTGTGATGACTAGTTTGGTCCATGTCAGTAATCAAGTGATGTTATAAAAAATAAACTAGTTTATTTTGTATAAAATGAGTAATGTTGCATTTTTGTTCAGATTGCACAGTACAAACAAGCTAATATCTAAATTAATACTGTTACAGGTAGTTATTACATAGGGACAGCAGCTAGAAAAAATAAGTACCTCAAAGCAACAGACTTCTGCAGCCAGCTTTCCATAACATTGTATGAAAGTTAAATGTCTTAGTTGCAAGTATGCATATTATAAAATGTTTGAAAAATGTTTAAGTATGAGCTGTTAAACTAATTTTCCATAGCAAGAGTATATGATGATTATTTACATTTAAAAAATCCATTTTTGAGAAAAGAATTTACAATGAAATAAATAACCTTCAGCAATCCCTTAAACCCAACTACAAGATCCGTAACTGGCAGTAAAAAACAGGTAAGCCACCTTGTGTCAATGTTAGGTCAGTAAAGTATGCCTCATCCAGAAAGAAGTGCAACTCTGCTTTAACTTTACTAGTAATCTAGAAACATGCACAATACATATTGGTACCTTCAAATATGGTACAACCTTGAGTATTTGTACAAGAGTATTCACAAAAACATACAATATATTTTACAATCCTTTAATACAAAATATCGATATCAAACCAATCTGAACTGCATTGATCAGACATTTCTCAAGCAGGCAAGCTGCAAAGGATAACAGTTTTTAAACTTAATCCCCTCTTCACCTTTTAAACTCAAGCAAGAGATAAATAGTTTCTTCAGGACATGTGTTGGTGATGTAAAGGTACTGATGAATATTAGCTGAAACTGTCTCTGTATGTATTCACTGTCTCTCAACACCATTAAGTATCAAAATCTAAAGCTGCAGTCTGAAGATTGCATAAAAAAAAAAATCTTGCCTCCTTTTGAAATTATTAGATGAAACTGCTTCTTAGTTATCCCCACTAAAGATTTCAAAGATTGAAATATTAAAAAAAAAAAAAAAAAAAAAAAAGAGTTCAAATCCAAAACATGG